CAAATGTAGAAAAACTCAAAGCATTCCCACCAAGATCAGGAAAAAGACAAAGTGCTCACCCTCTGTCCTATTCAATAGAGTGACTGAAGTCTTAGGCAAAGCTAAAGAAAAAGAATTCAAAGTATTTTTATTTGCAGATGACATGATTCTATACATAAAAGACCCATAAGACTTCACTGGAAAACTCTTAGAGCTGATAAACACTTTCATCAGTGAATGACACAGAATACAAAACTAATACACAAAATTGGTAGCCTTTCTATACATTGGTGACAAACATGTCAAAAAGGAAATCAGGGAATCAATCCAATTCATAATAGTCACATGCAAAAACATTAAAATACTTAGGATTATACCTAAGTAACGAAACAAAAGACCTGCATAATGAAAACCTTAAGACGTTGAGAAAGCTGTTGCTATCTAAATGATTAAGTCCCTACCTATAGATCTGCCCTAACAAAAGCAATCAATAGATTTCATATAATCTCAATGAAAATTCCAAGAGCATTCCTCACAGATATGGAGAAAGCCTAAAATTTATATGGAACCACAAAATACCAAGGATAGCCCAAACAGCCCTGAATAAAAAGATTATTGCAGAATGTATTATTATACCTGAGCTCAAGTTATATGACAGAGCCACAGTAATACAAACAGTGTGGTACTGGCATAAAGCCAGACTAGAAGACCCAGATAAAAGTTCATACAACCATGGCTATTTGATTTTTGACAAAGATGTCACATTCAAATATATATTATTGGAGAGAGGACAGCATCTTCAACAAAGGGTGCTGAGAAAACTGGATATCTAATTGCAGAAAAATGAAACTGGATCTCACCTTCATAACTCAACTCAAAACTGCTTGTGGACCTCATCACAAGGCCTGGTAATCTGAAAGTGCTGGATGAAGGAGGAGGGAGTCCATTTCAACATCAACAAAGGTGGAGACTTTCCAGGTAGGACTCCAACAGCATAGGGAGCAAATGGAACCGCTGACAAATAGCGTTTTATAAAATTAAAGAGCCTCTGTACAGTAAAAGAAACTATCAGTCTAGTGAAAGAGAAGTCCAGGATGGGAGAAAAAAGTTTACACCTATAAATCAGTCAGGGGATTAGTATCTAGAATGCACAAAGAACTAAAAAAACAAATACAAAAAGCCCCAACCCAACCCAACCCAACCTAACCCAAAATCCCAAACATCAAGGAAGCAATCCATTTTTTAAAAAATGAGCTACAGAAACTAGAAAGACAGATTAGTAGTTAAGAGTACTTACTAGTCTTCTATATCTGAGTTTAGTTCCCAGTACCCACACCAGGAAGCTACAAACACCTGTAACTCCAGCTCCAAGGGCTCTGACCCTTCTTCTGCCCTCAAGATAGACAGACAGACACAGACACAGACACACAGACACACACACAGACACACACACACACACACACGTAAACTTAAAAAAATCTTTAAGGAAATATGTTTGTAGAACTATATAGAATATTTAAAAGAAGTATAAACATCTAGGAAACACTTAAAAAGTGTGCGACAGAGCTAGCCATTAAAGAAATGCAGGTCAAAACCTTTTAAATAAATTCCGCTTCACCCTAGCCAGGTAGTTATCATCAAGACCACCGATAACAACAAGTGTTACTGACATGCTGTGAGGAAAGGCCTCTAATACATAAAATACTGATCTGCCAGGTCAGATGTGCCCACTGGTGCAGCATGGGTGTTACCAGGGTAACCAACCTCTTTCTGATTGACCTTAAAGCCTGCTCCACAGGAGGATATTCATGCCTGATACTATAAACCTCTCTGATCAAAAGTTCATGGCTGTGGAAGTCATAGGCCCTTGAAGGGAAGTCTCCTCCTTTTTTCTCTTCCTTTTCTTTCGCCTCCTCCTCCTTCTCCCCCTGCCAAACTACCACCTGAATATTTATACTTATAGTCGTATAGATCTATGCTGCTCTCAGCCTTGGTTAGAGAAGGTTCACAGTGGGTAGCAACAAATGTAGAGACTTATAACTAGCTCAAGTGCTAAGAACAAATGACTGCATTACTGTGTATGCTCAGCCCTGTGTGGGACATCTGTGTCAGCCCCCAGTCATCAAGCCTCAGCGAATAGGGAGTACCATGGAAGAAGATGTGGAAAGAATTTCAGAGCTGGCAGAAGGGAGGAATCCTGTGATTAGCTGTCTCCTGGGTATGACATGGCCCTTGCTCTCACGGACTCGCAGAAGCTATGTTACATGCACAAGATCGACACAAGATCAGTCCAGTCAAAATTCCAGTGTGAGAAACTACTAGCAGACTTGGAAAGGGAGAAAGATTTTCCTCTGGGAGTGTGGCCACTGATGGATTTCCCATGCTGCCGTGGATGGTCCTACAGTCATGCACAGAGGGCAGCATTAGTTAAACTCAGCGGGTTGCATCGAAAACCAAAAAGAAAAGGACACAAGAAGATGTGTTGGGGAGAGAGGTCTGGGAAGGGAGGATGGACATGATAAAACTATATTGCCTATGTATAGAAAGGGAAAATGCCATGAAGAACTGAGACTTTTGCTTACTGGCCCTTCGGCTTCAGACTACAACAAGAGGTTCATTCATCCCCCAGCCAAGTAAATGCTATGTTAAGTACACCTATGTGCTTCTGTACTGAGAGTTGTAGAACTTACAATGGGATTGTGAGACACAGTACTTTTACCTGAAGTGCCCAAACCAACTGGGGGAAAGACATTCACACCACAAACTTGGGTGCTTTACAGGAACCAGGCTTTCTTCCTGATGCCAGAACCACTAAAAAGACTCAGATAAAATGCCATCTATTGTCCAGATATTCATCACTGGATATTCCTTACCCACTAGTTAAATATGTTTCATAATCTCAAGAATTTTAGTTAAACAAAAACTCAGCTGAGCACTTAAAGTATTATTTCTTGTGGGTGTATTTGCTGTGCTCTTTTTTTTAAACAAATTTCTATCTTATATTATCTCAAGAATACAAGTAATTTATCCCCCCCCCCCATCCTGTTCTATCTGGATGACAGACAGGACAAAGGTCAGGTGTTTAAAGACATACCAATAGCCACCTGGGTAACAGCAGAGAAATCTCCTGGCTGTATTAAACCCCAAAGATTTGTCTAGGACAATAGATAAAATTATTTGTTCTGCCTACCTCACAGGTTTGTTGTAAAGATCAAGCAAAACCACATATATAGAAGCACCCTAAAAAGTTTAAAGCAGTATTTTAATATAGGGTATTAAGCTCTGCCCTTTCCCCTTGCTCCTCTGAAGTCATATTCTGTGTTTGGCTTGTGCTTGTGGATAGAAAACACTTAGGATGGTGTTGGGCAGGGTGTGTGTGTGTGTGTGTGTCCCTAAGCACAGAAGAGCTTGTTTGATTTAAGTTCAGGAAGAGATCTTTTCCTTATGAAGGCACTAGGGAATCCTTGCTTACGTGGTAAGTACTCTGCTTGGGTTGATCATGCTACAGGGTTGGATTACTGCCATTGGATTCCTCTTAGTGTAGAATTGAGGGTGCCCTAGAGAATCTTATGGAATCGGACCTCCCAAAGGTGTTCAGGAGAGCAGGCTAGAATTTCACGCGGACAGGTGTCCCATTTCCTTAGGGTAACCCGAACATTGAGACTCTTATTGTCTCCACCTTAAATTGTAAAGATTAGATGAGTTGGCTACGGAACAAAGATTGGCACGAAATTAATGATCGATAAATGTTAGCCAACGCAATGATGTGTTTATTGAGTCATTTGGCCCCAGGCTTTTCTTGGAATAGAGGAGCAAGACCCTGTTCCTGCCTCTAGAGAGGCTGGAGGGCTGTCGCTGCAGTCGAACGTTATGAATCATAGGGAATTAAAAACTGCCCCCAGGAACTTCTTTTCTAAGAAAAGTCCCCTTGGCTGACTTCTAGTCTAGCGTCCAGCCAGCCGGATGGGATAGAGGGAGCCTGATTCAAGGTTTGGCCATGGGTCCTATTATTGCATTTCCCAGCAGCGAAGTGGTTTCGGTCAGAAACGGTGAGTTGAGTTTTAAGCCAAAACAAATTTGTAAGTTGCAGGAGCCAGTGGGTGAGTGAAAGTCAGAGGAGCTCGGAGCTTCTGGTGCCCGAGTTCACAAAGCCGGGGGGAGGGGGGCTCGAGGCGCTCCCCACGGCCTCCAGGTGAGGACTGCCTGAGGTTAGTCATCACTTACAGCGCAGATCCGAGAGCAACTGGATCCCCATCCCGCCCGCGCGCAGTCTAGGTGGCACGGATCTCTGCCGAGGCTGGGGCGCAGCTCCCCCGGGGCAACCGTTCCACGTGGAGAGAAGGAAAAGTTTGGCGCGTCCGGGAGGTCCGGGCAGCAGACGGGAGCATCAGGCTGCAGCCTCGCGGTGTGGGTCGTGCAGCCAAGCCGGGAAACCGAGCACCGCGGGCCCCACCACGGGACGCGCTCCCAGGCCCCCGCCCTGTGCACCCCACCCCCTTCCCGGCCGCGCACGCAGCCAGCGGCCGCTGTCAGAAACCGCCGGAGCCGCCTCGGAGAAGAAAGCAGGGCGAACTTTGCACCCAGGACCCTGGGCCTCGGGTTTCCCGGCTGATCTTAGAGCAGCTGCCTGGCTTCCCCTTCCCGGCTGTAGAGCGGCGCGTGTTGGCGGGACGTCCGGAGAAGAATCGGCGGCTTGCGGCCACGGCCCGGCCCGACTCCGGCGCGCCGAGGAGCAGAACCGGAGGCCGGCGTTCGCTCCTGCTCTCTCCAGGGCGCGCCGGAGTCCGGGCGGCTGCTCCGGCTGCAGCCTCGGAGACGCCGCCTCCCTCCACCGAAGCTGCCCGGCGCCTCCCGGCCGCTTCGCGCCGCTCCGGACGCTGGGAGCGAGCTCGCCCATCAGGTAAGGAAGGCTGCGGGGTTCCTTAGGCTTCGGCTCGGACGGGCGTGTTTCTGAAAGTTGATTTGAAATGCATCCAAGAGTGAGCCGGGCCAGTCGCGGCTCCTCCCCAAGGCGACTCCTTTGCTCCTGCAGACGTTCCCGGCACTGGCCGACCGGCGGGAGGACCTCCCCGCGCGCCCCGCACGCCTACTCCCGAGCGCCCCCCCTCCCTGAGCAGAGCACAGCGCCAGGAGTACGGAAGCAGGCGGGACAGTCTCCGAGTCCCTTACTCTGCCTCTCTCCAACCCAAGACAGGTGAGGATCAAAAGTGAGTGGAGGTGCCACGGGATATCGGACCTGGTTGATCCTGTATACTTGGTCCTGGCTCTGAGAGCAGGCGCACCCCGACTCCATCACACGCAGTACAACAGTTCTAGTAGAGGGATCCCTAGGGGCCACAGTAGTATAGGATGGGGCGGAGTCGGTCTTGGAATGGGAAACCTGGGGACAGGGGTGGGGGTGGGGGTTAGGAGAACGCAGTTAGGGGGCGGAGGCCTTAGTACATAACGCGTTGACTTCAAGTGAAATCAGAGCCATCCTAGCAGTTCACGGTGGCTCTTCTCTCTCCTCCCACCTTACATTTCCCTTGGCTGGACTCTACCCTCTAGGCTCATTCTTGTCGCCCTGGACACTCCTTCTAACCTTCCCTAGGAGAGTGGCAACTGAGGGTGCTGAGTCCCAGCAGGCACGGAAGCTAGACTCAACGATTTCTCCGATTTCTCCGCTCTACAGGTCTTCCTGGCTCAACCCGAACATGTTGGACGGCTTGAAGATGGAAGAGAACTTTCAAAGTGCAATTGAGACCTCGGCCTCCTTTTCCTCTTTGCTGGGTAAGTGTTCAACGGCATGCGCCCTAGTGCATCCTCCTGCTTCTCCGGACGTCAGCTCTCTGGTACTGGGCTGCTCAACTGGACTAGCACTCTCTCCATGCACACAGAGGGGTTCACACTCTCTATCTTTCCGTGTCCATCAGTCCTTTTGACTCGCCCTACCCAAATACAACCATCAAGGCTTCTCAGGCTTCAGGGGCTCAATATCGAATTCCCCAAAGCCTTGAGGGGCGGGCGAGCATGTTCACAAGGCATTTGAGTGGCAAGTGATTAATAATACCCAGGGCTGGATTTTTAATCATGGAGCTGATCGACGGCTCATAAATGCCACCGATTTCTCAAAAGCCTGTGTCCTACCTAGCACGAGAGGTCCGAGGCCCAGAGCTCACAAGTTCTTCTCTTCCCCCACCAACTACAGCCCGGGTTTTAGTATTGGGCATGGCCTAGAGGCTTTTCCGGGCTGGTAGGCAGCGCTGCGCTGGGATTAGCTTGCCCGGCGGGGACCTTGCCTGGTCTTTAATTAACAGAAGCCGGATCCCAGTTCCGCGAGCTTGGTATCCCTCTACCCCCAACCCAGCCACTGTGAAGGAACAGAGAATAGAGAGATCCAGAAGAGTTACACGCGTGGGTCTTTCAGAGCTCAGGCCAACAATTCTTGTTTTGGCAGTGTCTCTTTAAATATGCGTTTGGAATTTTCAAGTTTCGAGAAAAAATGTTTTTGTTTGTTTTTTCTCTCTTCCTTTTTTTCTTTCTTCCCTCTTCTTTCTGAGAGATTTTTCTTTTATTTAAATCTCTTGCCTCTTTCCTTACCTTTAGAACCAATAGAGTAGGGCTGAAAATTTTTGATTATAGAAACCATATCCAGGAGAGAAATTGCCTACTCCGCCCCAACAGTCCAGAGGAAACGAAATTACAAAACCCATGTCCCCTTCTTTCAACCTCCCTTTCAAAATTGTCAGGATCTTCTCCTCGGAGCAAGGGAGACGCAGGCAGAGCCTGTGTGCGGACTTAGGCACATCGGGTTTGGTTCCCTTAGCCGCACGACCAATGTTTGCCCCAGTTCTAGGATGACGGCCTGGGATGCTGAGACCAAGACAACAGAAACTGACAATTGAGAACGACCACTTTTTCCTCCCTTCTTGCTGGATTCCCACCGCACAAAATGACCTGTCTGGCTTACGAGCTGGCATCTGTTCTCCAAGGCAGAAAGTGAGATTAGTGTAGTGGTATGGAGAAGGATCATCCCTTTGGGACATCACGGACAAGAGTGTTCTTGTGGGACAAGGGCTTCTTTAAACGGTTGTGAAAAGTGTCGACAAAGGCGGCCAAGTATTTCTCCCTTGCGTGTTGTGGGGGGGCGGCGGGGGGAGGAGAAGGCCTTCACTCAAACAACATCCGAAGAGAAAAAGTCAAAAAGGTCAAAGAGAGAAGAGTCTGACTGGGCTATGAGGTTTGTTGCTCCACGCAGCGCTTCTGAGCGCAGGAGATAGAATTCTCTGGCCGGCACCCTTCTCAGGGTCTTTGCGCTCCGCCATTATTTTTCCCATCTTGACCTTTCCTAATTACAAAAAGCCACCTGCAATTTGCACACCAAACAAGACCTAGGAGAGATTCACTAGTTTGAACAGTACTTAGCTCGCTTGGGGAGAGATGCTATTTTTCTGCGCCCGCAGGACAACATTTATGAAGGAACTAGAAAATGCTAATTTTCCCTTTAAAAAATAGAACGCAGTTGCAAGCAAATTATTATCGATCATTTAGAAGTAGTCAAAGGACACAAACACGGTGATTTAGTGATGGATTAATGGCGACTTGAGAGTCCTTAGGAGCACAAATTTATATGTCATCTAATTTAAAGGCTCAGTGAAAGCTCGCAGTGGTACCTGGGTCTAATAATTAAGGCCATTTATTGACCTCAGCCTCCTCCCTCGCTAGAATTTATACCTTGCTACCTAGTTTTTAGTTATTAGTAACGTCATTGCCACTTGGTTTGATTATTCGAAATGTATGATCATCAGGGGAGCTTCTTGAGGGTGCAAGTCCCCGGGGGTAAATCTGTGGGTGTAATCCGATCGAGAGCGGGTTTGGCGGGGGTTAGCCTGCCGGTGTGGCTCACCGGCGACATCTGTTGCTGTTGTAGGCAGAGCGGTGAGTCCCAAGTCTGTCTGCGAGGGCTGTCAGCGGGTCATCTCAGACAGGTTTCTGCTAAGGCTCAACGACAGCTTCTGGCATGAGCAGTGCGTGCAGTGCGCCTCCTGCAAAGAGCCCCTGGAGACCACCTGCTTCTACCGGGACAAGAAGCTCTACTGCAAGTACCACTACGAGAAGTAAGTGCCTGCGTCGCCGGAGCGAGCGCGCCCACTCACCTGCATGGGTGTGAGCTGTGTCCTCCTGCATCCTCTTTGCCTTTCCGCAAGGAGCAAGAGGCACCCGCAGGAAAGGCCAGTAAATCTCGCGCATCCGTGTTCGGTACACACCTCTGGCTGCGGGGAATCTATCCGTTTGCACAACTTGGGGCCCAGGAGAGCCGCAATGCGGGTTTTTGTTTTTTTGTTGCGAACATATTTTCAAATTATTTCAAGTTCCTCAACCCGGATCCATTCATTTCCAGAGATCACTTTGCCGGGGAGCTAGTGACTAGCGACCCCTTTTTCCATTTCATCTTACTCAAGTGTTTGCACCTCTCTGGGGTTTGTGCCCATTAGTAAGGCATATGGATTGGGTGGTTTCTGTCCCCTGGGCACATTTTTCTCTTGGGCTTGATCAAATCAGGTTTGGAAATGTCTTTCCTGACCTTCCCCTTTGCTTTGCGTTTCCAGTAACTCCCTCCTCGAGTTTTCTGCGAAACCTTAAGGTGTCGCGAGCTGAGAGAAGGCCCAGGAGTTACTAAGCTAGAGGGAAACTGATTTAAAGCTCCCTGCGTCTGGCGTCTCCACCCGGTTCTAGACTAGGGAAGGTATCTGACAGGCAGCATGCAGGACTGGGAGGCAGGTAGTGAGGAGAGCGGTTCTTATTGTGGTGTGGTAGGATGCCCTTATTGTCAAAGGACAGGCGGAGCCCTGCGAAGTAAGGAGGGGAAACTGCCTTGCCTTGCAACATAGGGATATTGGATTCGTAGGATTGTGGAGGGCTAGGTAGAAAGAAAAGTGGCTCAGAGCTCGTCTGTTTTTGTGCAGTAAGGCTGCATATGTTGATTGTGTGTGCATGCGTGTGTGCACGAGGGAAATACAGCCCCTTTCACTCCACTATGTGGAGAGAGGCCGAGGAAGATCAGTGTGTGTGTGAAACGGAGCCGCACAGTGAAAGAAGTGCAAAGGAGAGGGTTGGAGATCAAAACAACAACAACAAAAAAACACACAGGGGAAGAAAAAACAGAGGTTTCTTGTTTCTAAATCATCTGGGCTGTCAGGCTTATTAAAAAATGGACCAAGTTAGACGCAGCCGTCGCTGCCACCACCATCATCACCACTACCACCACCACCACCATCATCACCAGGCCATCCCTCTGCTACTCAGTACTCTTGCTTGACATAAAATGCTTGACTTTTACCGCCATGTTGAGAGAACACCTGGCCTTTCTGTTGTCTCAGAAATGCTTTACATATTTTTTTCATAACCTAAAAGACAACAAACAAACAAACAAACAAACAAAACATGCTTTCATTTATGTGAGTTGAACAATATTGAAATCAGCAAAGAAGTGAAACTCTCCCTGATCTTTATGGTAAACAGTTTTGAAAGAAAAAAAATGCTGGTGTCGTCTCTGTGCTGGCTTGGCTGCTTGTAGCCCCAGAGTCTGAGTAAAAACTGTGATTTCTAGGTAATTAAACGGATTTGGTCTATACAACTTCAAGTAGACAAAGCCTGGTGACTGCTCGCTTTTCCCTCCCTCTTCTCTTGCTTTTCATGGACCGGTTTTGGTATTGTGTGAGCCCAATCTTTATCTTTCTGCTTATAGATTAGAGAAAGGTCCACATCCTTCAGGCACAACACTAGCAAATTCAAAAGTATTGGAGCTTAGGGGAGGATTTGGGTTGTGGTTTTTCTATTCTGTTTGTTAAAAAAGAAAATCGCGAATCAAAGAAGGCTCAAGGGTCAACACAGCTGTCTGGCCAGTCAAATCTTCTTTAAGGAAGTCAGGCTGTGTCAAGAGGAGAAGAAACAGTTGCTGTAAAGTACTTAACAGAACAATATCCCTTCCATTTCAGCCCTCCAGGTTTGGCGAGGTTTGGGGCTTATTAGCCGAGAGGGTCAGCTCTCCCCTCACAAAGCTATTTCTGCGAAGAGAAAATTACAGGGATCAACTTGCCAGCTGTTGGTCAGAATCAAAATTTTATAGAGGGTGCGAGCTACATTGTTCAAAGAGGTGTTGGTGAGACACTGAAAGGTTTTTTTTTAAATTTTAATTTAAAAATATTTAGGGACACATGGATATCTAAAGTCGGTTTGCTTGAACTGCTTAGCTCTGAGCACAGTCTCAGAGCAAGCATGCTCAGCCTGTTGGTGGTGGCTGTTTTAGATTCATTTATCCCTCCCTTAAATTCCATCTCTCTTCTGTTCCCCTTCTCAATCCTACTCTCTTCTCAAGAAATCAGGATCTTAATGTCCTTGATACTCTCAAGATACTTTCTGTAAGAGGAAGTGAAGAGGTGATTCTTCTTCTTCTTTTTTTTTAAAGTTAGGCTCAGGAAAAATTCCTTTATTCAACAGGCTTTTATGGAGCTTTTACATGTAAAACCCTGCTTGTGGCAAGGAAAGAATAATTGGAACAAATTCTTGGAGGCTGATGGCAGGAGGTTTCTAGCCTGGCAGGTTTTCCGTCTATTTTACCCAGACCAGCAAGGGTTCTCTGAAGAAATTTCTCCATTTACATAGGACTAGGTATCCACTAGAAGCTATCTGTAATGGCCATGTGTTTATCCTGGAGGGTACAGCTCAACTTGGGCCAATAGTCATGAAACTCACAGAAAGCAAGCGCTTTCCTTCTTATTACTATGGATATCCCCCCCCCCCACCAGACAAAGTGAATGGAGAGGAAAAAGAAGATGTGTGTGAGGTGCTGAGAGAGCCATGGTGATACATAATAGAATACTTGATAGAAAGGGGATTACACAGAACTTTGGTTCCCCAAATCTGTAAAGTTTAAGTGCTGTTTCTACATATTGAAATGAACGAATGCATAACTGATGTTCACTCTCCGGTGACTACTGTGAGCACAGGTTTAGCAGCAGAGATTATCCCATTCATTTCTGCCGTTTGTGTGCATTTCTGGATAATTGGAAATTATAGATTTGTATTAGAATTATTACCTGTGTCTCCCTGGTGTTGGTCAGGCCTTCATTTAAATGGAATGAGACTTGTTGGGGGTGAGGTGAGGTGGAAATAGGAGCAGGAGACTGGGGTGAGTAGGGGTGACAGTAACCAGAATCACTTGTTCTGTGTATGAAATTGTCAAAGAACCACTCTAATACAAGTTGCTTAAAAAGCCAAAATTCCATGGTGTCAATGACTTCTTTTCAGTTCCCCAATGTGAAACGTCAACTCCTTTCTCATGAAAGCAATGGATTGATGGTGGCATCTTGGACAAGATTGTCCATTTGAAACCTCAGGATGTTGTACTAAGTATTGGCTTCATCCGCTATGGCACCCTTAGGAATACTTTACTTTTCAGCTATCCAAAACAAACAAGCATTCAAGGCCAGAGTGTAGAATGGTGATTTATGAACAGCCAGAAATCAAGAACGACTGGGGGTCCCACAAGAACTGGGAGTCCCTTGCTCTTGGTGTCATCGAAGAGAAAACAACTGCTTCTAAGAAAAGACAGCACTGGTGGAGTGGCCGGAGTTGTGCTGGGAGACAGAGCACCTGAGGTAGTGCACCTGAGTTAGCATAGGTGTGGATATTTCAGAAATGGGCTCACTTTGCGTCGACATTCCTGTAAGTTAGCAGACAACCAAAATATTTTCCAGCCTGGAAGACTTCTATTTATGTAACTGTTGTTCCCTATTTCGGTGAGCCTTCTGTGATCCGGCTAGTTCAGAGTTCTCTCTGAGTTGGTTCCAAGCAAGTACTGTAGCCATGCCTCAGCCGGAGACAGAGGCTGGTGGGATCAGGGAAACGTGGCAATTTGACAGATAATTGAGCCTTCTGGACACTATCCCACTTTTAAATCAAATTTATATTGCTTCTTTCATGTGCCTGGTGGCTTGTGGGTCAGGCAGGGCCTTCTCTCCTCACATATGAAGTTTATCATTATCACTCGGATTGTTTTGGACATCCTGGGAGCAGTGTGGGGTAGGGTTGCTGTCGTCAGAATCGTTCCCACAGTGTGCTAACTCCCCACACGTCAGCGGATCACAGCTTGGGGAAGCCTTTCCTCCGAAGGCCTGCTCATGTTTTCTTCTCTGCCTTTTGGAGTAGATCAGTTGTCTGTCCAGAGAAAGGGACAGACATGGAGGAAAGTAGATGTCACCCCACTCACAGTGTTCTTTGTCTCTTTCTTTTGGCCTGAGGCTTGTTGGTCCCAGGTGAGAAAGACTTAGGGCTTGCTCTGTGTCAGGATTGGTAATAAAATTATTCTGCATTCTCTCAAAGTGGTGCAGGAGGTGTCTGTGGAAGAGTTAGCTTGGGTGGTATTTATTATTATTATTATTATTATTATTATTATTATTACTGTGTCATTACTTGGAGATCAAAATTGGGCATGCAGTTCTTCATAAAAGGAACCCACAGATGAAATTACAGAGGTCATTGTTACTTTACTTTTGCTTGGCCTGGCTCCTGGCACAATAACATATTATGGAAAATAAAACTCAAGCACAGCTAGGTAATAATTTTTGTCTGCATTCAATTGTAGGGGTTTAGCTCACAATGAGCATAGTCCTTGATCATGGCTGTATTTATGCAACATTCTCTCTCTCTTTCCTCTCTCTCCTTCTCCCCGTTCCCCCCTCTCTCTGTTTCAATTTTAGAGGGTGAAAAATATTTCTTGTTTAGAGTTGTTCTCTTTTTATATATGTATTCATGGATAAGACTTGCTTGGAATCTAAGACTTAAAAATTGAAATTAGATAGTTGGTTTATGCATTTATAGTGTTCTGGGAGTTAGGGCTGAGTATGGCTATGAGGCTCTTTGATTCTTACTTAAGTGGGATGCATTATGAAAAGTGATTTATCCAGACGGGTTTTACATAGTGTAGAGTTCTGAGACCTTTGTCTTCCACATGGAAATAACACTCCACACCTGGAATTCAGTGAAAGAGCTTCTCCTATAGCTAATTATTTGTCTTGTATTTTATTTATCATGTCTGCATCAACAAAGACTTATT